TTTTTTTTTTTAAAGATTTTATTTATTTATTTGACAGAGAGAAAGATCACAAGTAGGCAGAGGGGCAGGCAGAGGGAGAGGGAGAAGCAGACTCCCTGCTGAGCAGGGAGCCCGATGCGGGGCTCGATCCCAGGACCCAGGGATCATGAGCTGAGCCAAAGGCAGACGCTTAACCAACTGAGCCACCCAGGCGCCCGCCATATGAAACTTTTATGAAATTTTTAAAAGTACATAAAATAGTATCATGAGAAACTTAAGCGGTGAGAGCTCAAACTCTAACGTCAGACAGACCTGAGATCTATTCCTAGTTCCCCCACCTAATAGCTGAGCAAATTTAAGCAAGTTACTTAACTTTTCCTAAGCCTCAATCTCTTCACCAGCAAAATGAAGATAAGTGTATTAGGCAGGGTAGCTAATTATTGTAAAATACAGCATCATAATTTCAGAGGCATAATTTAATAAAACAAGTAAAATCCAACACAGGTGTTCCTCACCATGCTTGGATGACATTTCTGCAAGAATTAATTTGGGGCCCCTGGCTTCTTGAGTTTGGTGGTTTTGACCTCCTCTAAATTCTTTGAAGTTTTCATTCAGCTGATAAGTGTGGAAAGAAAGAGAATATGGAGCATGTGTAGGATGTTCTAGAGGTTTTGTGGGCCAAACCTTAAATGGCTTTCATCATTTCTATTCACATTCCACTGCACAGAAATCAGTCACATGACCCCGAGTAATTACAAAGGAGGCTGGGAAATACAAGGTGTTAGGTGTGGAGTAAAGAAAACAGACTTTGGTGAACACAAAGTTGTCTCTGCCACTTACGGTCATGAGGTTGTTTTAGGGTTTAACTGAGATAATGCATGTAATGTGCTTAGCACAGGGTATGTCACCAACAAAGTTATATGTTCCTATTCTTATCACAAATATGTATGCTGGGAGTGTGAATAAGGGTCTCCCAGTTGGAAGTAGAGTATTTGCTTGGAGGTTCTACTAAGAGAACTCAGATACATTCAAAGAAAAATCCTGACCTTTTAAAGGTTATGATCTTTAATTCATTTGGCAGCATCAGAAGATATAAACAGAAAGGTAAGGGAGGAAGGGGATGCCAAGGTATTCATATCAGCTTAGCTAACAGAATGTCAAAATATTATAATTTAAATAACTCTAATTTCCAAGAAGAGTGGGAATAGGGTAAACTGGTAGATTCTTTGGCTTTGGGAATGAGCTTAAGTGAAGTAGTAAGGGGTAAAAATTATGGTTAGTTCTGTCTTCCAAATTCTTTTTCTCTCTTACTATCTTACTTTTAAGTTTAGACATCCTCAAGATTCTTCATGTGCAGTAAGTTTTCTTCACCATTTCTCTATTACCTAGACCCTTTCAGCATACTGTTATAACAATGAACTCTTTAGTCTCTAATGAGACTCCAAATCCAGTTCTTCCCCCATTGCCTTAAATGAATTACTAAATCTCCTTCATGTTATTGATATATCAACCAATGATATTTCTCCTCTGTTGCCATTTAAAATATTGCAAGCTCTGAGAATAGAGACCATGTTTGTCTTACACACTATTGTATCTTTGCATCTAGCAATACCTAGCATAGAGTATGCAGGCAAGAAGAATTTGTTGAATAAATGTCATCTGTATTGGTAGTTGCTTCAAGTCTTGCTGAAAGGGTCTAGGTAAAGTAATGGAAAGACAAGTTTTTAAATCTTGCTTATGCCACTGTAGTATCTGTGGGATTCTGGGCTTCTAAGACTTAACTTTTTTTTTTTTAAACAATAGAGAAAAATTATATAAGCACTTAACTCCTAAAACTTGTTTTTTCCCTTATATTAAATGGTACAATACTTTTTATAGTAATGAGAATTAAATGAAAAATTTATAAGTGTTCCAAACACATGAAAGGCACTAAAAAATGGTTTTTTTCCCCTTGGACACCAACCTCTCTACAGCATATTTTGTAATTTGAGAGCCTAGGAAATATCAAGTGCTATTCAAAATTTTCCTTCTGTTTTTGTTTCTATTCATTTGTAACTAAAGCACATAGGCTTTTAAGTTGGTGATCACAGTAAAGAGCTTATTCGTTCCCAAAGGACTAATGAGTTCATTGTTATAACGGTATTCAGCACCTAGAACAGTGCTTGACACACAGCAGGTATTCAATACATATATTTTTGTGAATGAATTAATAAAACACTGAAATAAGGATGATCCTCCAAATGGATAATTACGGAATGTACATGCTGTAAGTATGAAAAAGTGGGCAGGTTTTATCCAATGAGAGGTTTGGAGTAGTGTTTCCAAATGGGTGACTTTTAAGTGTTTTCATTCATTCATTCATTCATTCAAGTAGCATTATACTGTGTGTCTACTATGGATCAGCCACAATATTAACAAGAAGATATCTCTGTGCCTCATGCTAGCACAATAAAATAATTACAAAAATAATTAGTAGGAGGATGTATAAGATACTACATGAGTAACAGAAATAAACCACTGACTACTTACGAGAGTGTGAAACAGCATGGCATACCCAGTAGTGTGACACTGGCAGGAGTGCATGTAGAGGACTGGAGAGAGATAAGGCTCAACAAACTATACTTAGGTAGGGGCTAGATCATGAAAGGCTTTATATGCCAAGCTAAGAGCCCTAAGTTTTATCCTCTACAGTAGTGCATGGGGTGCTACTGAAGGGTTTTAATGCAAAGAAAAGATAAACACATTTTAGGTTCAGAAAGATCCGGATTGGAGAGTTGAGGTACGGGAGACAGAGAAATCAGCTAAGAAGTTATTAGAACAGTCTACATGGGGAAGAGATCATAAATCATAAAGGCTAGAACTAAGGCAATAGATGTGGTGTTAGAAAGAAAACGGGTTTGAGGGATATAACTAGATTAGGCGAGGTAAGAGAAATAAGAGAGAAGGAGGGCTAAGAATAAGTTACGGTTTTCTGACTTGGACTTCTGGGCAGGTGGTTAAGGCCATTCCTGGAATAAGGTACAAAGAAGAAGATCCACATGGATTAGGGATACGGAATGGGCCAGGACAAGAGAATTCATTTTTGGCCATAGTGAGCTTGAAGCATCTGTGGGACAAGTAAAGATATTTCTTGAACAGACCAAGGAAAGTAGAACACACAGAAAACTTAAGTATATAGGACAGGGCAGGCCGGTCAGTAATTCCTAACCTTAGAATACGTCCCCATCATCTTCTAAATTTCTTCATATCTTTCAGTTCACCAATGTACATAAACCTCTATAATGATCACTGATTACTTATTTAGAAACTTGTAAAATGCATCCTTGAAAAAAGTACAGTGATATTATCCTATAATGTCATTCATAATAGTGCAGAAAATACAAGTTTCCTGCTGTGTACTTAGGAATAACTTATACATTTTTCCTAAGGTTGAAATATTTAGCTATTGGCAGCTAAATGCCATGCTCATGTCGACTTACTTCAGCAGGAGGATTATTAGTGCAGACACTCAGGCCAGTTGGTAATTCACACAATGGAACCCATAGAAGGGTAGCAAGGATGGCATACATGTCTTGATGATTGGGTAACTGTACTGCACAATGGACATGGGGCAGCAAACTGGGCACCAAACTGCAGATGGACTGCAGATGCACTGAAGGAAGTCATTAACGTTTTGTGAAATTTGGGACTGGCTTGACAAAGATGAAGCCTGCTTGTTTAAGACTGTATGTTCTTGGCAAACCATGGTGCTGCAGAATTTCACCAGCCATAGTGAAACAAGGTGGGGAAGGGAATGGGAGGAGACCACAAAATCTGTGATACGATATATAAAATGTTAACTATTCGCATTGCATCTTCTGAGAGTCACCAGATTGAAGCACGAATTTTGGATTTGGCTGGCAGATGGTGTACACAGACTTTTGGAGTATGTTAGCATTTCATTTGAAACTAGCAAGATTACGTAGGACTATCACGGTAATTTAACATTCACAGAGTTTTTTTTTTTTTTTAAGATTTTTAATTAATTTATTTGACAGAGAGAGAGATAGCAAGAGCAGGAACACAAGCAGGGGGAGTGGGAGAGGGAGAAGCAGGCTTCCCGCCAAGCAGGGAGCCCCATGTGGGGCTCCATCCCAGGACCCTGGGATCATGACCTGATCTGAAGGCAGACGCTTAACGTCGGAGCCACCCAGACGCCCCAACATTCACAGAGATTTTAAAATTTATCCCTAAACCTGAGTTAAATGTGAGGCCCTAATTACATTTACAAAGGCTCTGTTAAAGATATGGATCTCATTGAACAGATTCACAGGATATAGTAATTCCTCTAAAATGTCTACAAGTCAGTGTCAGTGTCTCCTTTCCCTGAAAATCTGGTTAGCCAAGAGAAAAAGGGCCAAAGGGAAGAAAAACTAAACCCGGGAAGATGGCAGGTAGTGATGTCTCAATTCTTTGAATGGGACTTCTCCATTTACCAGCCTTCTCACTTCCTTCTATGGTCTGGACCTTTAATCACCTCGGCAGTCAGCCTTGTAGGGTCAAGCTAATCTCTGTTGACATCATCCTACTACTTCCCTTTTCAAATTCCAGTGAAGTTATGTGTTTCCTGTCCTATTTGACACCCTAGGGAAAGAATAGGGGCCGGTTAATACCTAAATTTAGTCCAGCAGCAACGTGTCTGAGTTTTCAGAGGAGAGATAAACGAAAACAGGTGACATTTCCAAGCCTTTCAAGAAAATGGGGAAAAAAAAAAGGAACAGAACCCAACCCTTCTGGGGTAAGTAAGCAGGGATAGCTTCAACAGTTCCACAGTAGGGAGAGGCCTGCTGGCCAGGCTCAGAAAATGGGCCGACTTAAGCGTTTTCCTTTTCCTTAAAGCCAGGAGGACGGCTTGGCGGGGTGGCCCTCAACACAATCTTGACTCAGCCACTAAAGTCCGGGAAGCCGGAGCCCTGACAGCCCCCTCCTCACGCCAAGCTGTAAAGGCGGCCGCACCTCCTCTTTGTCAAGCCGTTGGTTTCTAACACAGGAACGAGGAGACCCTTCGGCTGGGAAAGGGGAGAGACAGACGCCACTCCCTAGCCCGCCCCCGGCGCGCCGGACTCGCCGCCCTTCCCCCGCCCCACCTCCCCTCTGTGACCCCCGCGTCCCGCCTCGGGCGACCTGTAGGCAGGGAGCGTCACGTGACGCAGCCGGCCGCGCACTGCCCCGGGGCGGGCCTCCTGTTGCGCCCGCCGGGCGGGTTCCATCACGTAACGCGCGGGCACCGCCCCGCTCTTCCCTCGCAGAGCGAGGGAGGGCGGGCGTCGAAGAGGAAAGGGAAGGGAAAAGGGGCGGGAGAAGGAGACGGAGGGGCGGTGCCTGAGTCACGTGACCCGAGACAGCCCGGAAAGCTCCGAGGAGGAGCCTGGCGCCGCCATTTTCCTGCAGCTGCCTGTCCCTCTTGCCCTGCCCGGCTCCAGCTGACCAGGGAAGGGGTGGGCTGAGCTGAGGCGGGGGCAGGGGAGTGCCCGATACCGTGCCTGACCCCGCGGGTGACACGAGCCTGTTCTTTCCGGGCTGGGTGGCAGCGCGCGGCCCTGAGCCCCGCCCCAGGCCGGCAGGCGGACAAGGAGCCGGTGGGGGTAGGGGGTGCGGTGGGGGGGGTGGGGGTCCTCCGGCGCTTGGGGGTCCCAGTCCCCGCTGGCTGCCGAGCGGGAGGGGTGGCGGAGGAGCCGCAGAGATGTCCGGACAGAGCTTGACGGACCGAATCACCGCCGCCCAGCACAGTGTCACCGGCTCCGCCGTATCCAAGACAGTATGCAAGGCCACGACCCACGAGATCATGGGGCCCAAGAAAAAGCACCTGGACTGTGAGTGAAGCCGACCGCGGCCCGTCCCCGCGACCCGCGTTCTTCTCCCCTTCTCTTTTCTTACCCCTTCAGCTGCCTCTTCCTTCCCTGCGTCTTGTCTGGCACGGCGGGTCCTGTGCTGCTCCGAGGTGTGTTCTTTTTGCTTCCATCATACCTGCCTTCATGGCTTCCGTTCCCTGTCCAAAAATCCCTCTTAAGCCACTCCCCCCCTCCCCCTCGGGTACCTAGGGGACCCTCGCTTTCCTGCCCGGTGCGCCACGAAACCCCATCACACCGGACCAACTTGCCTCTCCACCTAGCTTCTCAACCTCCCAGCCGCCTCTGTCTGTTGCAGCCTTCTGCTCTTTCATCCCACCCGTCCCGTGCTGCCTAGTCGCCCCCTCCTGAGCGTTTCTCCGCTTGCTCCCGGTCTCACCGCCCCATTGTTTCCCCATTAGCCTTCGGGTTCCGTAAACGCCCGGTTCCGTGGACCTAGATCCCTATTGCTCCGCAGTCCTGAAGGCTGCCTCCCTTGAAGTGATTTCCAGTTCCTTTGCTCCACTAGCCTCTTCTGTCCATTCCCTTTTCGGGTTTCTCTTCCAGCTCCCCTCTTCGTTTGGGTTATATTTCTTGGCCTCTGTAGCCTCAGTTAGGTTCCTTCGTCTCATTTTATGTCATACACATCACACTCAATATCCGACTCTTATCCCAGATTACTTTCTTTGTGGGAGTGTAGTAAAGGTATTCCGTTTGGTGTAGGGAACGCTTTGTGGGAAGTTGGGATTTTTAATTGCTTTTGGTGGAATTTAATCATTATGTTTTCATGCTTTTTAGAGAAGTTGTGAATGTCAGCCCCCCCCCGGTGTTTCTTTTTCTAATGGGGATCTGGAAAAGGATTGGCTGAGAGTGGTATTATTTCCTGGAACTGTTAACCCTGGTAGTTTGAATTTAGAAGGTTGAGTATGAAGTGTAGATTATTGGAATAAAAAATGGATTAATATCAAACCTACAAATAACATACTTTAAAATGCTCTTTAAAAATGCTAAAAAGGTGATTGATGATACTTTAGTTTGGACTCCTTTTTAATTTATGCTGGTTATCTCGGGGGACCAGCTTCTCTTATCCGGCATTATATTACTCCATTCACTAACTTACATACAATTACCATAGCTAACTCCTCCCAACTTTTTCCAAACCTGGAAGCCACTTGTAATATCCTCATTTTTCTTTACCTGGAGGTACAAAGCTCAGTGGATTACTCAAGCTTTGACTCAGTGGAGTGACCTAAAACTTTTCAGGAAAAAAACAACAACAGGGAAATAGGCACAATAATTTCCTTTTTAAAATGGTAACTGGACACATTAGCCTGACTGACTTTTATTCTCATGAAAGTTACTTTGCTTTACTGTTTGAAGCAAGAGTGAGCATGTCCTGAAAGGGAATTCACTGACAGGAGTCCTGTTTTTTTTTTTTTTTTTTTTTTTTTTTTAGGAGTCCTGTTTTGATTTCTCATTTGGACTTCGGCTGTAAGGTCTGCACTTAAAAAAAAAAAAAAAGTACAAAATGTGAATTCTTCCAGGATACTTTGCTCATGAAGTGCTGTTAGAACAAGTTATTGCTACAGACAAATGTATTATTCATTGTGACTTGTTCCTTCACTGTGGAAAAGTTAAAAAAAAAAAAAATCATTACTGCTTGGTTCTCTTATGCACTGGTCATGCAGGCTGCTTTTAACTATCAGTCCTTGTCTGTTTAGAAAATGCAGAATATATTTAAATGGTGACACTTTTATACATGGAAAATTCTTTAAATTGAATTGTGAAGCCATACGTGATTTTTTTTATTATCTAATATTTGGAGTAGACAGTTTTACTGTTTACTGCCCTTCAAGTGAGTACTGGCTTGCTGTAGCCAATCTTATGGTTTGACCTAACACTGTTAATTCTTGTTTTTTATTTTTCTTTTGGGTGAGGGGGGCAGGTGAAAAAACTACTTGTTACTGTAAGAACTATTTTTCTCTTCCTCAAATTTATCAAAATGATAAATTAGAACAAAAATATGTATAGCTTTTTAAAGTCTTTATAAAGGTTTTTGCATTATTTCAAATGTAGCAGTAGTTCTTTTAACACATTGCCAAGAAGGGTAGAAAATAGGCTAGATATGGCTAGGAGGGTGGTCTTTGCTTGTGGTTTTAGTGCTAGCCTTTTTCTCTTGTAGTAACAGCTACTGCAGATGCCAAATGGGATTAGGTTTGGAGGGTAAACTCATCTCTACCACTGCTGCTGTGTTTATAAGCTCCCACTTTAGAACTTGAATATTCCTGGTAATGTGTGATTTTTTTTTTAAGTTGCCACTACTCTAGTTCTTTTCAGTGAGGTTTTAAAATACTCTTTTCCTTATATTGTTTTAAATGCCCTTGTAACAAGTTTTCAGTAATGACGTAAATTAAATAAAGTCTGGCCAATCAGTGGTTTTTCTAAACACCCTCCTCCCCCACACACTTTAACATGCTTCCAGAAAATTAAAAAGGCTTTCACAGACAGTTCTGTGTCTTGACATCGTGAACTTCAGGCTTTAGTGTAGAGATGATTTTTCCTCTTTTAGGAATTTTTCTTTCTAGTGAGGACTTGGTTCTGTTGCACCTTTTAATATCTTGAATGACTGTTGCCTAGTTAGTTGAACTTAGTGAAAGCAATTTCATTTTTTAAATGTTAGTCTATAACAAAAATATGTCTAGGACTGTTTTTTTTCCTATGGCACTGTGGAGGTTGTTTCTGTGTACTTCACCAAGGTGTTTCCATATTAGGAAGTGATTATTATAATCTACGAATTGTGGCTTAATTCATACTACATTATATACTTTAAGAAAGATCTTTTGTTTTACTTCTGGGTGTCTGTAGATAATAGTGTTAACTAGGGTCCCTAGTGTGAAGAGTTGTCCAACTTGAAACGTGAAAATAAACACGATTTGCATTTAGTTTCAGGCCTCTAATGGTCATAATCAAGGTAGAAGAATAGCAACCCTAAATTGGAAGGACTTGAATTTGCCAGGCACTTATTAACCATTATCTAATATACTCCTCTCATGGCTATGGGAGAGGCAAGCCATATGCTTAGGAAGTAGTTTCTAATTCCATTTAAAGAGGATATAGAATGCTTCAAACATCCGTAATTATTAAAGTATAAACAAAACACAATTTTTATTTTTTATTTATTTTTTGAGAGGTGGAGGAGGGGCAGAGGGCGAGGAAGAGAGAATCTTAAGCAAGCTCCACAGCCAGCACAGAGCCCAACAAGGGGCTTGATCCCACGACCCTGATACCGTGACCTGAGCAGAAATCAGGAGTCTGGGTGCTTAACTGACTGAGTCACCAGGTGCCCCAAAACACAGTTTTTTAAATTTATAAATTCTTAATTTAAAAACCATTCTTATCTGACTTCCTAACCTTTCGTCTTATTTTGTTTTGTTTTTTAAAGATTTTATTTATTTGAGAGAGAGAGAATGAGAGACAGAGAGCATGAGAGGGAGGAGGGTCAGAGGGAGAAGCAGACTCCCCGCCGAGCAGGGAGCCCAATGCGGGACTCGATCCTGGGACTCCAGGATCATGACCTGAGCCGAAGGCAGTCGCCTAACCAACTGAGCCACCCAGGCGCCCCTTATTTTGTTTTTTGATATGAATACTTAATTTTCTTTTTTCTACGTTTGTTTAATTTACTGTCCTTGGGCATTTACATTGTAGCATGTTGCACTGAAATACAGTATTTATGTTAATGGTAATAATGGCTTCACTTTTTTATCCGTATTTTTTCTCACTTAATTTCTAGGGATACTTATTCCATCTACTGCCTTAGATCTTGACAACAAATAAAGATCTTGTTCTTACTAAGCACCCATTATAAGTGTATCTCTGTTGTAGATACAATGTGGGATTTGTATGTTGTGTGCTGGATCTATACCCTGCCTAAAGTTGTGGAAATAGTTTTTTTTAAAGTAAGAATTTGTGAATGTATTGAGTATGTAGAAGGTGGAATTTGTATTTGGATTAGTGCTTTGTATAACCATTGAAAATGTATGTAAAATATCAAAAAGTGCCTGAAATAATTACCTTTTTAATCAAATATATTGGTTTGTGACTTCCATTGGGTGCTTAGTTCGCATATTGTTGAGAAGGTATCTGGTAACTGGGATCTGATTTGCAAGAAGATGCCTGTGAGGAAGATACTAAGCGGGAAATCTGCCCCAAGATGTGTCTTGTTGAAATAAAGTAACTGAGGCTTTCCAAATGGATCTTGTTTTAAAGAGGCAGTTGTTTTGTGGTTAATGTATGGACTTACTATTCTTCTTAGTATTAATCATATGATTTATATTTTCCCTTTTCATTATTTAACCTATTCGGTACCTTACTATTTAGTCTTTAATAGTTCTGAAATACAGAAAGTGGTAATGGAGTCAAATATGTCAAATGCCTGAGGTATGTAGTAGAACTACACAAATGTAATTTTTTTCCTCCTTGATATATATAGTTATGTTTCTGAATTGTATGTATTTTATTTTATTTTATTTTTTTTTAAAGATTTATTTATTTATTTGACAGAGAGAGAGAAACAGCATGAGAGGGGATAGGGTCAGAGGGAGAAGCAGGCTCCCCGCCGAGCCGGGACACCAATACAGGACTCGATCCCAGGACTCCGGGATCATGACCTGGGCCGAAGGCAGTCGCTTAACCAACTGAGCCACCCAGGCGCCCCAATTGTATGTATTTTAAAAGAGAAACTCAGAAGAGAACTTGATATATAACCATTTTGGTAGCTGCCTTATTCATAATTAGCAAATTAATACTAAAATACCTTTAAAAAGTACTTAGGCTTCACTAGTGGACTTGTTAATTTTAAAAACTCTTAATATTAGACTCTAGGCATCTATTTTTTATCCTTACAGCAAGGCTTTTTATTTATGTTTACTGTATATTTTATATATCTGGATAATTTTTAAAGGTGTTTTCGAATTTAGAGTGGCAGA